TTGATTAAGAAAAACCTAGGTTATATTATTTCATGTGTATTGCACTGAGGAAGATCCATTGAAAAGTCGAGCAGTCAAAAACGTATTTGCTGTTTTCTTGGCATGGAAATGTATTTACTGATAGGTTCATTAACAACTACTTTCAGATTATTACATTTCTTATACTCTGCTAAGGATAGACAGGACCGGTCGTTTGTTTGGACTGAATATATTTTCCCCGGACCACCAGGAATACTTTGATTTTAACACTTTGTCCATTCAATGGAAATATTTCAACGCTGTTCTGTTTGATATTAGAAATTAATATTTACTTGGAAAGGATAGTAAATATAATAAAATGTCATGTCATTTGTAATGGAGGTACATCGTTAACGACATAAAATCAAAAGGAGTTTAGTACTGAAAAGGGATGCTAGTTTTGTATCACGGGTATCAAATTTTTTCGTCCTTACTTTGCAGGTACTTGTGTTAACATTGTGTTGGACAATACAGTACTTGCTTGGTAACAGACACCAAACAGGTTGATTTAATGCATTCGCTTTGAAAAGTTGATAACTAAATTTCGCCATTGTTCATAAAGGGTATGTTGTTGCTGACTATCTATGTCGTCGTCCGTAAACACTTGATGTCACTTGTATATATGCCATTGTTTGTACTGACATGTTCCCTTTATCTCTGGTATAGATATCGGTTTCGCTATAAATGTTGTTATAGATAACTATGTATATCTGCTAGAGTTACAAAAGAACGGTTCAGATATTTTTGTCTATCTGTTTGACAAAACTCTTTCAGATGAATTAATAACAAGTAAATTTTTTGTGCTACAAAGTGGATATCTTTCAACACAATAGGTTACACTACTTGTGTCAAAGAATATGCGAATGTGTCTCAGAAGATTTGCATCACATCATGCAAATTTATTTACCTATGTGTCTTATGCTTTATTCTCTGAAATCATAGCTTAATTCTTCAGCATGTTGCGGATATCTAAACATATAAAAAAATACAGACCTTCTTTATGGTGTTTGGTCAAAAATTGCGATTACCCTTTGATGTCGCATTGGAGTCAAATCATTCCTTTAATCAAGAAAACGCAAGATAAATAAGAAGTTTTTTCGAACGTGAAAATTGTTGATAAATTTGGTCTTCTTTAAGCCACCGCGTTGTTTTTTTTTTTAATTTTTTTTTTATAAAACATAAAACCAATATAACGGTCTGTCGCACAATGTATATTTCATATCTAAATATAAAAAAAAAGATGTGGTATGATTGCCAATGAGACAACTCTCCACAAAAGACCAAATGTCACAGAAATTAACAACTATAGGTCACCGTACGGCCGTCAATAATGCCCAAAGCCCATACCGCAAAGTCATCTATAAAAGGCCCCGAAATGACAATGTAAAACAATTCAAACGAGAAAACTAACGGCCTAATTTATGTACAAAAATGAACGAATAACAAATATGTAACACATAAACAAACGACAACCACTGAATTACAGGCTCCTGACTTGGGACAGGCACATACATACAGAATGTGGCGGGGTCATTATCGCATCATTCAGTGGCCCCTATACCACATGAAGGCTAAAAACACTATCATCTGAGTATCACTTCAAAACATAACGTTTTGTAAACATGGTAAACATTAAGGATTTTGGTGCCTTCTTTGTTCTTCAGAATATTCATCCTTTTTTTTTGTCCCGAAAGTCACGATTGACTCCGTAAAAGGAAAGATTCCACAAGAAAGCAACTAATAACCAGTATTTTAATAATAAGTCAATTGTTTTTTTTTTCTTTGAGTCCCTTTGTATATGTCCTTTCATTCCTGTAAAATCACTGAATAAACAAGTTTTTTTCTACTCATCACATACATTATGATACTGAAGCAAAATTTAAAAACAACATATAAATATGATGTATGCTCTTTTACCAAACATAGAACGTATTTACTGACAGAAGAACTGCTATTCTATGTTTTTGTTGACTCCTCATCAAAATGACTGTTAAGGTTCTGATACTTTAAATATTGTTTACTGGACAGCAAAACACATACATCATTTAACTAGGACAAACTTATTAATTAGCAAAGCACTGTATTGACATGGTGACCACTGATTACTTTGTATGACTTTAAAGGCTACAATATAAAATGTAATAGAGGAGATTCGAGAACATATTGAACAAATAAAGTATATGTCAGATATGTTCACCAACATATTGACCTTTGTCCACTTTTATTCTTATTCAGTAAAAAATCATGAAATATGACTACAAAGTATTCAAAAAAGATGGATGCAGCTGTATAAAGTATGGCTGAAAAACGTATCTAAAAGTTACTTATGCCAAAATAGAATTTGACTAATGAACTGCACTAAATCTTTATTTACTTACAAACTCCTATTCATGATTCTACTACACTCATTTCCATGACGCTCACTCTAACACCGATACAATCTTAATGTATTCACGTATGACTATACAAAAGCAGACGTCTATAAAAATTAATCAACGGAACAAGTGAAAAACAACTGTCAAATATTTGACTATGTACAGGCATTTTCCAGCAAAAATGGTGGGTTAAATCTGATTTGATAGCTAGCTAAATCTTCAACTTGTATGTAAGTTGTTTATATTTCCTTTATTTTGACAAAATTAGGTGAGAAGCTCAAAGAGACATAATTGCCAAATGTGACAATAATGGGTATCCAGCAGATAAAACTGTGTAAACATACATCAACAACAAAACTGACTTAAAAATTCAAACAAACATACACATTAATCTAGCAAAGACGACAAAAAAAGTGTTAATTTGACAATGACGTCAACAACAAAAATTTAAGTCGTTAATAGCACATACTGTATATATAGTATGTTCTTTCTCGATAAAGTAATACTTAATTGAATATAAATAAAAGGGTAAACAAAATAGAAAAAATACTGTGAATACCTACTAACAAAGTGTCAGAAGTAACAAAAAGTTGCGACTTTAGCTTTATAAACATCCATTTGAAACATGATATGTTTAAGTTTATCAGCCGAATACACTTTCATTGGATTGCCCCCAAAAAAAAATTTCCCCCTGGTTGCAACTTTTGTTTTCTTTATCTATCGTGCAAATTCTCTTTGACTATACACAAATTATGTTTAGGGAAAACAAGTAGTATAACATTTTACCGGCTTTAGGTTGGCCTTTTGTGTACCCAAGGCAGGTGAAGGAAGTCAACTTAGGAGCGCTGTGATTTGATGTAAGGGTACAATTATTTTATTTCTCTATAAACAACTGCAGTGTGTATACTTACAATATACATTTTGAAACCAATTGAAATATTTTCTTGAGAATTATTTGAAAAGACATCCAAATTTTCATACATTTGATATAAAATGATGGTGGGCATGCTTACCATAAACAAGCTTCGTTGGAAGATGGTCATGATACTATTTGACTTCAATATCTAAAACAGAATAATAAAGTACTAATGCCAGCTTTTTATTATAAAAAGGTGGTTAATTTCGAAAATGTTATCAATGTCGCCTATGACAGAATAAATACTACCGTTTTCCCTATACAGAAGATAGCAAGGGAAATCAAAATCAATTAGTGTTCAGTTATATTGCACTATTTTAAAGCTTTTAATTAGTACATTTTGAATACTGTGTTGAGAAAAGTGCTTAGTCATCACGATAAGTCAAATTGGTGGGTTATAATATAAAACTTCATTCTAGGAATTCAATATTAGCTTTATTGTATAAAATGCACCAAACGCTAGTTCTTCTGTATTTGTTTTCACCTTTTGTAATGATTAATTCAATTAGAAACACTAGAATTCAAGTTGCGAAAAATATTTTTACTCAAATATTTGCCTTTTTGCCAGTGTAATACCCTAAATGTATTACTTTGGTGTTTCCAAAGACATAATCTATTAAAATCGGAAACTATCTGGTTTAGTTTGTCCTGTTTATGGAGTAAAGCAATATTTGGTAAAAGTAGAAACAATTTCAGTGTTAAATGTGTTCATCTAAGGAAAAAAAACGTCCCAATATACAGGCTAAATGTAGATAAAATTTATACTTTCCTGTGTAAAGAATTGTTCACATTCTTGGCAGTTCATGCAGCAAATATTTCGATAGTGCTTCATTTTGTAGTTTCTATCTTTTACTATATCAAACATGTTTAATGTTCCATTCTCTACTTTTTGAAAAGTCTGATTTAGAAATGGATACTCCCAAGGGACATAACTCAGCTATTTTATAGATTAATACAGGAAACAAGGGCAACTTTACAGCTTTTTTTTTAAATATTTTATGTTTTGATTGTCAATCACATTTGTCCTTATCATCTCAAGACAAAAAAAACTGGATTTTATAACAACCTTAGATTTTGGAACGCAAATACTAAAGCATGGAATAGAGATTTTTATGAACAATCTTGAATTTGAGGTTATGTTGTACGTTTTGAATAAAATTAATAGAAATTGAAAGGAACAGTCATTTTTATCTGTTTAAATGGTACTGTTTACTATTTTTAAGTAAGATAAGATGTGATTGGATACAGGTAGTGTATCATGCCTTGTCAGAAAGAAGTACAGAAAGGGATAAACCAGCATGTAAGGGTGGGGACATAAAATCATCCAAGTTTCTATGAGTAATGGTGACACACAAGTAATTCTTATAGCCAAGGTTTTCATAATAACTCAATATTGCATTGATTTTGTCATAAGAATTCTTTATATATTTATGTCACAGTATAGGGAAAAGGAAACTTTAAGTCAATTGTCAGTACGATATTTTATAGAATTTGATTCACAGTAATATGATCATCTTCGTACTTTTCGATACTTTATAATTTGTTTAGAAAATGTATTTTAAAAAGGTATATGATAAATCATATCAGTGCCATTTGATCTGATGTAGATTTTTGGAATACCAGTAGTTACACATTGATATGCTATAAAATACTTTCAAAATAAACACAATTAAAAGTCTTGTTTTTTTCAGTGTCACACGTATGATGGCGGGTAGTGATAATGACTCAAAAACCGTAAACGACAGTGATTTTGGTAAGTGAAAAAGAATACATCAATCCTTCTCTTAAGGATAACAGTTGTAAAAAATTACAGTTGTCTTCTATTTTATTGGAATCACCTTTACAATATTAAGGTTGGTTGTGACATCTTAAATTGGAAACTAATCTCAAAAGGGGGACGAAAAATACCAGAGGGACATTCAAACTCATAGATCGAAAACAAACTGACAACGCCATGGCCAAAAATAAAAAGACAAACAGAGAAATAATAGTACAGATGACACAACATGGAAAACTAAGTCTAAGCAACACGAACCCCACCAAATCACGACTTTTGGTAGACAGATATTAAGCACTTAAGGTAGAAACAAAATTTAATTATTGTATGTGGATTTTCTTTTCTGTATGTACGTGGTCATATATTATTATGAATTATGCATTTAAGTTTCAACTGATGATACATTTTTTACTTTAACACAGCAAATGATTAGCATGCTTACACTTCTGTAGCATCTAGTTTCGATGGAGTTTGGGTTGCTAAGTCTTTAGTTTAAGAAATAATACCTTCATGTCATAATAGTGTTTACAAAGCGATATTAGGACGTCAAATAAGAATCTCGAATCAAGTCGTCTTTCTGTTGTTTTTCCTGTTTCGCTATGGCGTTGAAATTTTGTCTTTGAATTAAGGGTTTGAATATCACTTTGGTATCTCCCTCTTGCCTATCTCAAAAGGTGTCCGCAACCTCATTGTAATCATAATAGGTCAAACGAATGTCGTTTTTTATAAATGATGTAGGCATAAACATTATGAGTTCAATGTACCAGTGTGAATTATATTCTCAGATAGAAATATGTTTATAAAGATGCTACCCGACCACTTATAAATACAGTTGAATTTCTCTTCATAAATAATCCCCTATTTTCCGACTTATGAATAAGAAATCATCAGATGGTTCACAATGATTATGTAAAACCATGTTAACATAATATACAAGAATATTTCACCCAATTAGGAGAAGAGTAAATTCGTCGATGTGTTCATATCAATCATGCATATCAGACTTCAAAAATGGAAATCACTTCCCAGTGATGGCAAATAAAAGTTGCAAAATTCAAAGGGAACTTTTATAATAAGTTCATTTTGAACAGAAATCAGCAAAAAGTGTATTAAAACTTAATGAAATTTCAGTAACCGATTTAAGAAGCGTTGAGTCTAGAAAATAAACCACGGTAAATGAAAATACAGACCTAACATCCCTGATTTAAACAAATTTACATGTTCATTCCTGATGGAAGTGGTCTCACATCTTTAATCATTTTTTATCGCTTGAGATGTAGTAACTTGTGAGGTATTGAGCGACAGGACTTCACCAATATCTCTCGGAACATTAAATTCAAGAACTTTGCAAGATCATTTTTCCATAGGCCATGGGGTCTTTCGAAATTTTTTTTGTTTTTCTAAAATGGCCATTGCAGTAGCAATTTGAGAACATATTTCCTTAAAAGTACAAAAAGACATAAGTTTATGGATTGAGCGAAACGTAACCAATCATATGGCACAAGAGTTGACATCGTGTTAATCAAAAGTAGCAAATGTTCTTCTTAATTGCACGCAAAATCATATAGAAACCAGATTTTTGACGACGAACGAGACTTTCGAAAAATAAAAATGAAAAACATCAACATTTTATTTTCGTTACAACTACAGAGACGTGCAAAAAGTATTCAGTCATAATTGCGTCTTGTTAACGTTCTTACAGGTAACTGAGTTTTGAATGGCCTTACCCTACGTCATTCACGTCACTGATGATTACTGTATTTATCTTTAGCGTTGTGCATCACATTGGCTACCGTCATGTGACGTTTGTTGTTGTAGTATCGTTGGAACAATTAAAATAACAATATGGGTAGAAAAGGTCAGGAACTGTCAACGGATGTCAAAAACATTATTATAGAATTGTTATAGAATGGGTATTCTCGTCGAAAATCGGTGACATACTTAAAATCCCCAAGCCAACAGAAATTGACAATGTTAAAAAATATTTAGACACAAGTTCTGTGGAAAATAAACAAAGAAGTGGCCGATCATTGTTTGTAAAACCACGCGACTACCGCAAGCTGGAACGCATTGTAAAGACAAGTCGGAGGAGTTCTTTGTGTGACATGACAAATAAGTTTAACGAAGAAAATGGTTTTCCTGGGTCTAAACGTACCTTTCATCAACGTTCACATAAACATGGGTATCATAGGCGTGTGCATAAGAAACAAATTCGTGACGTCAATCGGAAAAAAAGACTTGCATGGTGCAGAGAAAAAAGGAGATGGACGGACCACTAGAAAAGGGTTATTTTCTCTGATGATAGAAAAATTATGACAGGACATGATGAACGTCTTTATGTATGGCGAAAAAGAGATGAGGGGTGGAGACCGGACCTTATTCAACCGCGGACATCACAAACAAAATACCAAGTCACGATTTGGGGTTGTATTTGCTGGAATGGCGTCGGCACACTTGCTCGTATAGAAGGCAATACTAATGCCGTTAAATGCCAAAAAATACTTGATGAACATTTGTGGCCAGTGATAGCTCGGCATTTTCCAAGATGACAACACCCCTGTCCATCGTGCACGGTCCACCCAAGAGTTTGTAGCTCGGAACGGAATTAACGGTATGAACTGGCCTGCACAGTCGCCAGACTTGAACGTGATAGAAAACGTTTGGTTATTTATAAAAGGAAAACTTGAAACACTGGGATGATTAAATCTAACTAGAGGCTCTTAAGAGCCTGTGTCGCTCACCTGACTCTACTTTGGTTTTAGAAATCATGTAAAGATAGATAAAAAATCATAACAGATACCCAAATAATGATTGAGGCCAAATTTTGATTAATATTGGTCCCGTTATTTAATAAAATATCCTGGTGGCCATCTTGAACAGTAAATCGGCAACAAAGTAGCAACACTTGGTCAGCACTTCATAAGGAACATTCATGCCATGTTTGGTTTCATTCCATTCAGTGGTACTCTAAAAGAAGACTTTTGTATGTATTTCCCATAGGGTCCTATGTTAAACTAAGCCCCCCCCCCTAGCGGCCATCTTGGATGATGGATCGACTGCAAAGTAACAACACTTGGTCAGCAACTCATAAGGAACATCCATGCCATGTTTGGTTTAATTCCATTCAGTGGTTCTCTAAAAGTAGACAATTGTATGTATTTCCCTTGGGTCCTATGTTAAACTAAGTCCCCCGCTGTCGGCCATCTTGGATGATGGATAGGCTGCAAAGTAACAACACTTGGTCAACATCTCATAAGGAACATTCATGCCATGTTTGGTTCCATTCCATATATTGGTTCTCTAAAAGAAGACATTTTTATGTATTTCCCAAAGGGTCCTATGTAAAACTAAGTCCCCCGCTGGCGGTCATCTTGGATGATGGATCGGCTACAAAGTAACAACACTAGGTCAGCATCTCATAAGGAAGATTCATGCCATGTTTGTTTTCATTCCATTCAGTGGTTCACTAAAAGAAGACATTTGTATGTATTTCCCATAGGTCCTTTGTTAACATAAGTCCCCTGCTGTCGGCCATCTTGGATGATGGACCGACTGCAAAGTAACAACACTTGGTCAGCACCTCATAAGGAACATTCATGCCATGTTTGGTTTCATTCCATTCAGTGGTTCTCTAAAAGAAAGACATTTGTATGTATTTCCCATAGGGTCCTATGTTAAACTAAGTCCCCCGCTGGCGGCCATCTTGGATGATGGATCAGCTACAAAGTAACAACACTTGGTCAGAACCTCATAAGGAACATTCATGCCATGTTTGGTTTCATTCCATTCAGTGGTTCTCTAAAAGAAGACATTTGTATGTATGCCCCATAGGGTCCTATGTTAAACTAAGTCCCCCGCTGGCGGCCATCTTGGATGATGGACCGACTGCAAAGTAACAACACTTGGTCAGCATCTCATAAGGAACATTCATGCCATGTTTGTTCCATTCCATTCAGTGGTTCTCTAAAAGAAGACATTTTTATGTATTTCCCATAGGGTCCTATGTTAAACTAAGTCCCCCCGCTGGCGGCCATCTTGGATGATGGATCGGCTACAAAGTAACAACACTTGGTCAGAACCTCATAAGGAACATTCATGCCATGTTTGGTTTCATTCCATTCAGTGGTTCTCTAAAAGAAGTCATTTGTATGCATTTCCCATACGGTCCTATGTTAAACTAAGTCCCCCGCTGGCGGCCATCTTGGATGATGGATCGGCTACAAAGTAACAACACTTGGTCAGCATCTCATAAGGAACATTCATGCCATGTTTGGTTTCATTCCATTCAGTGGTTCTCTAGAAGAAGTTCTAAATTGTAAAAAGTTAACGCCGACGACGGACGACGCCGGACGACGCCGGACGACGACGGACGACGGACGCCAAGTGATGAGAAAAGCTCACTTGGCCCTTCGGGCCATGTGAGCTAAAAATGAATTGTTCCAAGAAATCCACCGTATTTGGGTTAATATTACGCCTGTCTATATTCAGTGTATGTACAAATCGATTCCGAAAAGGATATTAAATGCAATCAAGCTCAAAGGACACCTAACAAAGTATTAAAGGTAATTTTGTATATTTGTTGTATTTTATTGGTTGATTTATATATATATACAGCACAAGCATGAACTTTACAATTTGCATTTCCAAACGTAAACACGCCGTCATTGTGACCGAATACTTTTTGCACGTCTTTGTATATCGCTTTGCTCAATTTTAGTCTTGGCGATCAAGAAACATTGCTTATGAGTATTCTTCCTTAGTTATTATACGACTATTATATTTTCCAATTGTTAAATGTGGTTGAGATTTTGATTTTGCCATTTGATAAGGGATTTTCTGTTTTGAATTTTCCTTTGAATTCAAGAATTGTGTTATTTTACTTTTAACAATATACATACAAAAACTAAATGGGGTTCAAAATGCTGGGGTTATTGCAATGGAGGTATGGTACATTTGTACTGACAGAATAGAATAACTTTTTGTTGTTATTTCTAATAAATAAATTAAAATCTTATGAATTTGTTCTGGTTACAAATTGTTAACAACTTCCTGTAGAAAGACATTTTAATTTTGTTCTAATAAGTCTTTATCGTTTCAGTGCTGATACCGTTCGATTATATTCTGATAATGAGTATCGTAAATAAGAGATTATCGTTTTTGTCTTGCACTGTATATTTGTTTTGTAAGATTTCTTATCTAATAACACTGTCTTGTTAAACTAAGTATAAAAGTTATCGCTCATTAACTATTTTAGCACGGTTTGTTTGTGTTAAACCGTTGATCTAAGATCTCTTATTTGAGATCATTGGCCATAATTTGGCAATTGAGAACAAAGTCAAAAGAAAATGAAACCATGTTATAATTATGTTGTTAGCTTGTGGGAACACTGAGAGTATATAATATGTTAAATTCTGTAAAACTGCATATTTTTTTTTCGAAATCAAATTTATCTTAAAATATTTTAGCCTATAAAAAGTCAAATACGCATTTAATATCTCAAAATAAAGAAAAATTGTATAAAGTACACTTACGTCCAATACGTAGCTTATGTGAACCATTATTACACACATTTGCGCGGGAACTGTTCAAACAAGCATTTTGTTCAAAGTTTACACAATGACTATTTTTAAGAAATTCTTGAAGTATGATGCTCTAAATTTAACGATAAAATTTACAAGTCTTTGGCTTAGATTTGCATGTAAAAATTTTTGGCAGAAAGCACATAACACTTTGATAGAAAGATTCAACAGGTACGCTTGAAGACCTGTATCCACTTGGTTTATGGACTCACCACAAGGCGGCAAGCGTATTAACGAAGGGGGACGAGAATCTCTATATGACTTATCAAACGAGCCCAATAATAGTTTTTGGGTTTAAGTGTTTACCATAATTGGGGGTTTCTATATATAGAATTCAGAAAGTCTGGTGTTATTTTTTTTGGGGGGGGGGGGGGGGGTGGGGGGGTGGATGAGAGTCAAATATATTTGCCTTGGTACTGTCGTCGAATTATTTAAAGATGTTATTGTGATTTAGAACTATCATTGAACTTCCAGGGGAACTTCTTCTGAAAAGCTTATGTTAAGCAAATTGTATTGTATCTTCTTCATTCCGAAATTCCAATGTAATGTTTTATGCAGTGTAATGGTTCTTAATAGGCATAAATTTAGGCGAAACGCCACTGAAGTCCAATTACTATCTTGATTACGATTACATCTAAGTGTTATATTTAAAAAAAAATTATTCAAAAGTCAAATATTCCCTCAAACACAATGTCAAGCGGGTCTTACGTATGATTCGTCATTCGTACGTACCTTTCGTGAAATTTCAAGAAAGCTCTTATAGGCATGTATGTTTTTCGCCTTGCTTTTTGTACGTCATATTCATTATCTTAGTACGTTTGTTCGTTGCAGTTGACCGTACCGGAGCATTAATGATATCCTCTCCATCAACAAAAGTGCCAGAAAATCAAACAAAAAGTAGGTATTTTGTAAGACTAGTGTGTATTTGGAACATTTGAAAAATAAACGTACATTTTTTACATTTACCACTTCATTTAACTGAAAAGCAGTTTTCACCAGAAATATGCACAGAAATTCACAGGAAGGTATCAGTATCAGGTATCACTGATGAATTAGAAAACGAAGGTGATGCCTATAAATACCTGTAAATTCTGTTGGTTTTTCTATCCATATTTGATGATTATGACGACAGTAATAATAAATAATTTTTAAAAAAAGTTAGTGCATATGAAAATGGTTCATTGCTCTATATGGATGCAAATATTTATACATCCTTGATGGTACAACTCTTGTGTTTTGTGTACTATTGTTTGTCTGTTGGTGTTTTTCTTTTTAAGCAATGGCGTTGTCAGTTTGTTTTCGACTTATGAGTTTGAATGTCCCTCTCGTATCTTTCACCTCTCTTTTGTAAGTTCAAACTGTCAGAACCAGATCATCCAAGTTTTTGGTAGGGTTCATGCAGCTCAGTCTTCTGTTTCTATGTTGTGTTTTGTTTATTGTTGTTCGTCTGTTTGTCGTTTTCTTTTCTTCTTTAGCCATGGTGTTATCAGTTTATTTTTTGACTAATGGGTTTGAATGTCCCTTTGGAATCTTTCTCATGTCTTCTATGATAGAACTGTCTAAAACTGTTCAAAGGTATAATTTTTTGTTAGAATCGGTTCTAGGATGGAACAGTTGATAATGACGGAAGGAAAAGCCGTTCTCTGATCGTGATTAAAACAGTTGCAGTTGGGTCGATTTTCAAGTTAATAATGTCATATCAAAGATAAAACGGATTGATAGTAAAAATAAACACAGTCTATAATGTATGATTTTGTTTTATTATTTCTCCATGTTTGTTTCTATTGTTCGATCAAAAATATTTTTATTCGCCAAAACATTGGATCGATGAAAAGAGAAAGAAAATGAAAAAAAAATAGAAGTAAAATATAAATAGATGAAAATGAATAATGAGACAAATAAGATAAATTTAAGAAAAAAATTTGAATTAAAATCTTGTCTAAATATGAATAAATATGTTTTAAAATGTCCTAAAGATTAAACTGTTAGACTCCGTTCTTTGATTTAAGAGTAGAACAATAAAAAGCTATGTTAAAATTGAACTGCATGGATCTGTTCTAGCAATGTGTAAGTTGTAACTGTCAGACACTGTTCTAAAGGTGTTAGGAGGACTGTTATATAGACAGGTTTTTATTAGTTGTGATTGGCTTTGTCAGTAACTGCGAATACTCTCAGATCTGTACTTAGTTGTCCTTTTTGTTACAAGGGATGATGAATGGATAAATACCCTGCCACGTCCGGTCGATGTTTTTGTTTGATGTTTTTCTGCTTTGTATTGATCTTATGAGTTAAGTTTTTTTTTCAACTGATTTTTATATTGGAATCAACTCGTATCTAAGATTTCTATTGATTGTTTAACTGTCAAAGGTCACCAAATGCCTCTTTCCAATATTGAAAACCTATACAGACACTACCAAAAACCTTGCGGTATTAAATTAGTACTTGAAATATACATCATTTCTTTTTATACTTATATTCCTTTGAAAAGATTTAAATAAACGCGAGTATATTGATGATCATTTCTGCCTACGTCTTTTAATTTCAAATATTGACCCCATGCACATATAAGTGAAGTTGAACTCTAAACATATTTTCAGAAAATTTCAAACAATTAAAAGCATTATTATATATTTGTTTTAGCAAAACATAACTGGTTGTGCTTCATTTGTGTATTCTTGTCTTTCATTTTTGCGTATGTGCTTTGTCTATAGAGTATCTGTATGCCATTTTGTTTTTATTTGTTGACATAGTTGTTTGTGCTTATAGGGATTAAGATTATAACCCAATGTTGACTGCTGTAACCCAATTTTTGACATTTTTACCTATAGTATAAAAATAATGAGATGTTGTATATTTGCCAATTAGACAACAATCTACCAAAGTTCAAATGAAGTGGATGTACGCAAGTATAAGCAATCGTACGGCCTTCAACAATGAGAAAAAAACCCAAACCGTATAGTCGGCTATAAAAGGCCCCGGCATGAAAAAAATAAACAATTCAATTCAGAAAACTAACTGCATAATTTATAACAAAACAATTTAAGAAAAACAAATATGACAGACATGAACCAACGACAACCACTGAACTACAGGCTCCTGACTTGGGACAGGCACATAAAGAGTGTGGCGGGTTAAACGCGTTTGTGATCGCTCAACCCTACTCTAACCTGGGAAAGTGGTATAACAGCACAACATAAGTGTCGATTAAATATTATTAGGCTCTCTACATCTTAATACCTACATTGTACCCGAGTTTCGCCTAGAGTATGTTTTAATACGTCCAAATGTAAACAAAGAACTTATCGTTGCAAACATTGTAGAAGCAAGAATGCATGTTGGAATCTTAAAAATTTCAAACAGACTGGAAACCGCAGAATATGCAAGTTTGAACATTTGAATATAATTGTATAGTATTTCAATCTCGACTTATGATAAAAGTAGGTTTTACTATTGCAAATTTGGGCGAAGCTAGGAAAATAAAGATTCTTACATGGTTACCAGTGGATTATCGGATTTATCAAATCAAGATAGTTAAATTGTTGAATTTTAAAATCCGAGTATCGGCTTCGAGATTAGATAAATCTGATAATCCACGAGTAACTTTATAAAAATATGTTTCCCTTATGATTATCAAATAAAATTTGATATTTGATAAAACGAAATAACTTTCGAGTGCCTCTACGTTCCTATTCCTAATTTCAACGGCATACACTTCATCTTGAGAGCTGGTAAAGATCGTGATCGGTTCACTTAACTAATCATCTATTGAGATCATGGTCATTAACAAGTTGATTTTTTTTAAACCATGGTTTCAGAAAGGGTTAAATTGGCAAAGAAATATAGAAACAGATATATACAACAGTTAAAGGGTAGGCCTTGATAATCCCAAAATTTTCCTCTGATATAATTTTTCTTATATTTACATTATAGAAATCGTAGTAGTCCATGCTTCATCTGCAAAAGTTTGTTAAAATTCACTGTTGCATTTTATGTTTAGGGTCTGTTGAATATAACCAGTTTTGGGGTACCCGAACAAAAGGCCAATAAAGATAACAGTAGTGTACCGGTGTTCAAAAACACTAGTAATCATATATTACTGTGTGTTTTTCCACATGTTCTCATTAGGAATACCTATTTAAATGCGTAGTAGAAACACATTGTAGAGTAAATTTGAAATGTCATGGTAATATTTGTAGCCTGAGTGTAAAGCAATGGTTTAAAATTATTCAAGATGATGAAATCATTAGTCAAAGGTAGTCCTCTTAAATACATTCCACATATCCAAACAATCTACAATAATGAAATTGAGGATGGAAAATACATTTTAATATGATTATTTCAAATTTTAATAATGTACCAAATTGTTATTCTTGTAAGAGTCCATATTGCGTTATAAAAAAGAAATAATGTTCACATTACATGTACACTGAGCCCTCTTAAAATTTATCTACAGTTTAGTTTGGTTCTTAAGTAAAATTTATTTTTGTTACCTCTTTTCTTTTATCAGGAACATTAGTGGGATAATTTAACATATCACCCTAACCCTAACCCTAACCCTAACCAATTTTCTATAACAAAACACGGAAGACTAAGCAACACGGTAAGAACACAGATGGTTATTAGTCTTACGCAAATGACTGGGACAAAAAGAAATCTAAACTATCATAAGAAATTAGAAAATGGCATCGTGGTGTATTGAGAACTATACATAATTCACCCCAAAAAGAATGTTAGATTGTTGCAACAAATTTGTCAAGTTGAATTTAACAAAAAATGCTTAATATTTAAGTGAAAAAAGCCAAAAATATTACTCTTAGGTCAACGTGTTTTCAGTTAATACAATATAGAAGTTTTATACCTTTTTTTTTATGATGAAAGTCTGAATTTCCGTTCAAATCGCGACTATTTTATCAAAATGATTTAACTGATAGGAACAAACAACTTCTTCGTTGAAAACGTTTTACTCGAAAATAAGCGGTTTTCTTGGCGAACACGTAGTTGAAAGACCTGTTTAGTGTTTCGCCGTCGCTGGTTTAGGCTTAATGTATAGCGACACGATTTTTAACATAAATAATGTTGTTAAAATTTCATGGATTATTATAAAATTTGGACAGAAGCTTCCTCTAGATCAAGAGATAATTTGTTTTTGTCATATTGTATTAAGGTTTTTCTACCACCAGGTATAGATTGGCGTCATCTTGTTATGGCTCAACGTTTTGAAATTGTCGACTTCTTAGCTCTTGAATTTCGTTTTTCATATGACCTTCTTACAATTTTGATTCGAGGGTCATGGCTGATTCTTATGAAGACAAACCACGCTTCTGGCGTTCAAAATGATAAACCTGGTGTCGTTTATCGGTTTTTACTGTTAAACGGTAGACAACATTAGACATGGTCATACGTTTCTCAGACTGTTTATGACGTCCTTACACTACATCCGTTGGATGTATACTGATTGATACTTTAGTCTGGGAAGACGTGATTTATTTATAAGTTGTAGTTTGCTTTTAGCTAGTTTTCAGAGTCCTGCTATATCGGTGCTTTGTGTCTATTATTTTAATGTTAGTTGGTTTATTTGCTTCGTACCGATCTATTGAGTTAAGCCAATTACAACGGATTTATTCAGTCTGTTCCTACATGCATGTTGTGATGTTACACCGCTGTCCCAAGTAAGGGTAGGGTTGAGAGCTCACAAACATATTTAACCCCGGTTGTCGTCGGGTCATGTCTGTGATAATTGTTTTTCGTAAATTGCATTGCATAAATTAGGCCGTAAGTGTTCTCGTTTCAATTGTTTCACATTTTTTTCATCAAGAAATTTCTTGGTATTCCTAAACGGAAGATTTTATACACACAGAAGAAGAAGATTACTTAACAACAAAATTATTTTCATTTACCTGTGTATAATATGACGCAGGTTTCTTCAAAAGTGATGGTTTTCTAAAAATTATTTGACATTTCACAGTGATATCATACTTTAACTTTGTTTAACCTGTTTATTTACTTTTGACTTTAATTATTTATCCCTTGTAATTTTTTATTAACTGTGTATTTGCATTCAGGTGTCACAGGTCAAATTCAATCAAAGGTAGTTCATTGTGTGTTTATTTACGTTCTTTGATTGAGTTAAGCCTTCCAATTGATATTTTATAATGTGTTTTTCTATGTTGTGATGTCATACTAGTCTATATTTGAATCTGATTACAGTAGTTGTCGTCTGTTTATGTGGTTCATACGTGTTTCTCGTTTCTCGTTTTTATATAGATTAGACCGTTGGTTTTCCCGTTTGAATGGTTTTACACTAGTAACTTTTTGGTGCCCTTTATAGCTTGCTGTTTGGTGTGAGCCAATGCTCCGTATTGAAGGCCATACCTTGACCTATAATGGTTTACTTTTATAAATTGTAACTTGGATGGAGAGTTGTCTCATTGGCACTCATACCACACTTCATACTTTGGAGAAGACGTTCTAAGTTGCAAAACTTGTGTCTAATCCTATTGTCAATTTTTTGGACAATAAAATATGTTTAAACTAATTAAACTCATACCACATCTTCCTATATCTATATACGATATAATTTGTTCTCGTTGTTGACGGTCGTATGTAGATGTTGACCTATAATTGCTTTAAACTTCATCATTTTTACTCTCGTGGATAGTTGTCTAATTGGCAACCAAACACACCTTTTTTCATATACATCATATTTGTTTCACAAAAACATGACCTTACTACAAAATACGTGTTCAACAACATTTTTATTTACAGTGTGTAGGACAACAAATTTTGAAAACAAATGCGTGTATACCTTAAACTGCAGAGCTTCTATTGCAAGGTCTAGGCAATATTTCGTCTTTCATAAGTTGTGAATGACGAGTTTTTCTCATTCTGCTTTGAAAATGATCTTATATTGGATATTTTGACTGTAAGTGTTACCAATTCAAGAACGCGTCTGAAAGGACGACTGTGTTGAATTGTCTGTGAAAAATAAACTGCTTTGTTTATGACTTCAACATTATATTCCGATAAAACAATACAGTAACATTGAAAAGTATTAAGAAGCTTTTTTGAAAACTCATTTTTTTTTTCAAAAAGCATTCTAAAATAGTCATATACAAAGCTATGTATTTCGTAGAAGGAACAGGAAACACACTTGTTGGATCAGATTATCATAAGTTTATGATGCAATGTCTTTCAGAAAATGAATTGCGACTTGTTCTAGTAGGAAAAGTTGGAGTCGGAAAAAGTTCTACAGGAAACAGAATTCTAGACAGAGATGCTTTTAAGTCGAAACGAAAAGCAAGATCGGTGACAACACATGTCAAAACAAGGCGTTCCGAGCTGAAAGATAGATCAGTATTAGTAATTGATACACCAGGGTTGTATGACACTAGAAACGAAAACTGCCGTCAACATGTACAAGATGCAATTAAAACTTGTATAAATGTAGGGGCACCTGGACTTCATGCGATTATTTTTGTTTTGTCAACTGCGACACGATTCACTGCAGAGGACAAAAAATGTTTTGAGGATTTTTTTGAAATATTTGGGGAAACGTTTTTCAGTTATGCTGTAGTTGTTTTCACTGGAGCAGACCTCTTAAAAGCTGACAAAATGAGTTTACAAGATTATATCGGTAAAGACAATGTTTTGAAATCGTTTCTTAAACAATGTGGAAATAGAATAGTAGCTTTTAATAATAGAGATCCAGCTCCTCATGAAAAAGAAACACAAAGACATCTTTTGATATCCATAGTTACTGAAATGAATCAATCCAAACAGACATATTATACAAATTTAGATTTTATAGATGCAGAAGAGAGGCTTAAAAAAATTGAAAAAATGAAAGAAGAAGAACAAATAAAAAAACTTGAAGAACTACGCAAACAATTGGAAGCAAAACATACTGCTAACATTGAAGCTCTTCTAATTAAGCATAAAGAAGAGATAGACAATTTGAGGGATCAACTTAGAGAGAATTTAGAGCAACAGATGAAAACGGCGGGAAAAGTGGATAAACAAAATAAATGGTAAGAACGAATAAACAAGAAAACTATAATCAATATATAAGATATTATAACGTTGAAAAGTTGTTGTTGTTATTGGTTTTGGTACAATGTAGGCGGCTTATTTATATAGTAATTGCGCATTGAATTCAAAAACAGAGTTGACTGTGTTACTATAAAGTATTTACATGTATATATGTATATAAAAAAGATTAAATTAAATTAAAAAAAAAAAAAAATTTAAATGAGAGGGGAACAAAAAACAAAAAAAAACGATAGTTCCTAATGAAATGTCATTTTATAACTGATAGGTACAATGTACTTGTTATGTTCATTAAACTAAAAACAAAGGTTCCCTTTTTGAATGATTTCTCGCTAAAATCCTACTGTTGATTTTGAATGTCTATACTATATCCTGGTAAATGTTTTGCAGTAGTTACCAAGTTGTGCAGCCGAGAGGAACAATAAATATTCCCATTGTTTCTCCTGACTGCACTCCCGGACTTTGGGAATATTATGGGCGAAAGGATAAAGTATTTAAGATTAGTGCCCTATAAAAATTGAATAAGGTCCCTTAATTATCCCACCGGTAGCATCCTTGTATCAAATTTACTCATGAGAAATCTAAATCCAAAATCACCTTCCCTGATACCTCCAGCTCGCTCACAGATGGCATCATATCCACTGATCTATATTCTAAGCCAACTGACACTCACCAATATCTGTCCCCTAAAAGTTGCCATCCTGCTCATTGTACTAAGAGCATCCCGTACAGTCAGGCACTCAGAGTCAAGCAAATATGTTCCAACACAGAAACAACTAAAAAACAACTACGTCAACTCGAAACCCGCCTGAAGAGAAGGGGCTACAAACACAGAACTATCCAAAAAGGTTTTCAGAAAGCGGAAACTATTCCAAGGAGTAAACTGTTAGAATACAAATATACAAATAAAAATAAAAGGACTCCATGTGTTCTTACTTACCACCCATCTCTCAAAAATAGCTTCAGTGTCATTCGTGAGCATTGGAAAACAGTTGAAAAGAATTCCAAACTATCCAAGATTTTTCCCAAGCCTCCCATGATAGCTTTTAGGCAACCCAATATTCTGCGAAACCTGCTGGTGCGGGCTGAAGTGTCTGATAATAGAAGTACTTCTGGAGAATGTCGTTCGTGTGATGAAAAACGCTGCAAATGCTGCCTACAGATGCATCACTCATCAACTTTTCACAGTAAGGCAACCGAAAATAACTATAGGATATTTTGCAGTGTTACCTGCAAAAGTATGAATGTTATTTACATTCAAGAATGTTCGGTTTGTGGCCTCCAATATGTTGGTGAGTCAAAGCAGCCTTTCCACAAACGCCTCAATGGCCATAGGAGTGGTATCTCTAAGAAGCCACTTCTCCCAGTTTCTCAGCATTTCAGACAGTCTGGTCACAAACTGGATGACTTTAACCGCATGAAAATCCTAGTGATTGAACAGAACATTCACTGGAGTGATGCCCAGCGACAGGTTCGGGAAAGCTTTTGGATAAAGAAACTAAATGTACATCATCCAAACGGCATCAATAAAAAATACTAAGTTTTATTTTTCACTCATCTTGTGATGAAAATATACACAGTCACGTATATTTGAGTATCGTTTTTTTTTATATTATGATGTTCAGGATTTTGGATTAAATCCTTAGACCAAAACTTACCTGTATTACTGAGCTATTTTTATACATACAATCAGTATTGTTAAAATTATTGACACTGAGGAAGGCTATTTGTTGAGCCGAAATATTTGTCAACACGATTTAATAACAGCATCTTCGTATAATACCATCTTATATTAGTATCGTTGTGCAAATCTCTAGACTTATATAATTTTTTCCATATCTGCACAATATTGTCTATTCTAGACGATCCGGTACATAGTAAATTTGCTGGTTGGTCCTTTTTATAGACTTCTATATATATACATGTATATATATGGGGGGTGGGGTATGTTTTTTTCCTAAAAAAATATTCTGATTCCCAATTTGATGATTGTGGTCAAGCAGATGACAAAAAAAATATTCTGAATCCAGACATGTATATATATATATATATATATATACAAGTCTAAATTGAAAACAACGTTCAAACCTATGATTGCGTTGGATAAAAACCGCAATTTTTATACGTGTGCAAGCAAAACAAATTTCTTGTTAGAGGGGTCTAAATACAGCACAAACAACATTTTCCAAAAGACCAAAAGAAGTGAAAAAGTATATTTTAACAAAACGCATTTGACTAACAGGTCGAACAACAAATGTTCTTAAACCATGCTGACTGCCATTGGCGATTGACAAATAAACGGATCACAAGGTGTAATATATGAAATCAACGAATGTAGGTACTTATTAATGAACAAAAAGTCACCATCTATAGTTCTTAACATATGGGAATAAAGAAACTTTTGATTTGATTTTGCAATGGACTGGAATAGGATTCGATTATTTTCATAGTTGGTAAAAACTGAGACGTGTTATTTTGAGGCCGTCGAAACCGTTCTCTTTGGATAAGTAACGATATTGGTCACATTTCTGGCACATGCCGAAACTGGAAACATTAACAATTGTTAGTTTTCCACATGTATATTTATCATAACGTAATAAAATAGGCAAACACACATACATACAACTAAACATAATGAATAAGTTGTTATTTTTTATTTGTTTTAATCGTCTATTTTCTTTTTCAGCATAGTAATGTAGAAGTCAAGATAAGGAGAATTAACAAAGAGGGAACAATACCGTACCTTTGTGAGATAGTATCCCCCATGATAGTTCTATTTATATGCAAACTCATTAAGATTCTGCTTTAATGGTATAACTATTGGAACCAAAACTGAATGGCACTATACTAGTAACATTCTACGGTGTTAACACAAGATTAAAAACTATAATGGAAGTTTTAAAGGGAAGGCCATTTGATTTTCGGAGGTGAAAAGGAGTGAAGTATTTTAAATTAATATTATAAAGTTTTGCTTTTTTTTAAATACTATATTTATTTGATTATTCAATATATTTTTTTATACATATACATACATGGTATAGTAATCCTTTGAATATGTTTTCAATGATTGCATGATTGTTGTATGCTTAATATCCAGTGGCAAACATTTCATGACATTCAGGTTGAAAACAAATTCACAATAAATAAGTAAGCTTTGTGTGTTTTTTTTTAAATTTTGGTTCATTTGTATGTTTTAGAGTTAAGTTTGACGTCCATTTCGCTGAACTAGTGTCGTACATTAATGTTTAGGGGTCAGCTGAAGCCCGACTCCAGGTGCGGAATTTTCTCGCTGCATTGAAGGCCCATTATTGGTGGCCTAGGGATGTTTTCCGTCCTTGGTAGGGTTGTTGTCTCTTCGACACATTCCCCGTTTCCGTGACAAGTCTATTTCTTGTACACTATTAAACTATTGTTAATATAAAACAGGCATTCGTAGTTGATTATATAGTTGTGTATAAATCAGTGACATTTGATCAAACGTAAATAAAAAAAGAGTAATTCGGCAATTTCAGACTGCATCATAATTTATCACTGATACTTGTACTAAATATTCATGCTTTGTGCTAAACAAATATTAATAACTGTCCATTGATGACGTACGATGTAAATATGTGGTTTTTCAAAAATCAAATAAACCACATATATACCTCTATGAAAGACAGTAATTGTGTTATTTCATATTCCAGGGGAGGGGGGACAAAAATGTATGTAATGACAATTATGTTAACGCAATTGTACATCAAACATTTTACCATAAGTACACTTTAAAACATGTGACGTTAAACAGGTATATCACTTTTCTACAGATGACTATGCTATTTTATTAAAATTCCTATTCATATAGAAAAACAAACTGAAATAATATTAATATAAAATAATGTTTATAACATAAAATAAGTGTATTGGGCTGCAATATCAATTTATCTACCATTGTGATATAATTCCAATTGCAGTTGGGCTCTTTTATAAAACAAGTTTATCATGTTTAATTATATCGTGATTATTCTAGTTTTTGTTTACTCATTAATCATAATGTGTGTATCTTGCGTTGACTACCCTCCTTCCCCCCCCCCCCCCCCCCCCATGTAACGCCAGTTACTCATCGTGCATTCATCGTTCGTGTAACGCTCATGACTTAGTATCCGTTAATTCTTCGTGTAACTTGCACTCATCGTCCATCCAGCGTCCATTTTCCGAACATATATCGAGGGTGTGATCAACTATAATTGTTGTATGGAACTAGACAGGAACCCGCACAATTTCGGGTATTGAGGGCAATTAAGATGTTAAATGACTTTGCTTTCTTTTTCTAAACATCAATTTTTAAACGTCAATATTTGGTGTTTATTAAAGACCTACAGTTTATATACCGAAATTCCGTGCAATTAAAGCGATTTTACATGTAGGTGTGTGTCAAGAGAAGACTGCAATTCATCTATTATAATATATTTGAGAAAAAAAAATATTATATCATTGTATCAGTCATTTCATTTTTTTTAATTTTTTTTACATATCAATAGACTACTTCCGAGTTCGTTGCATTCCCGTCAGAAACTGTGGTTTTAGTGAACATCATTCGTGCGATAAGGGCATCGTCACTTCCATCCTATGTTGAGCGAGTGGTTGAAAAAATATGATGCTATATTGCACGAATTATTCGGCAAATTAAATTCTTATAATAGATAATCAGGACTGCTGCAATTAGGGAATTGTGTGATTAAGTAACAACGGAACAAACATTATTAGATTATCCTGCATAATAACGTAAACGAAGACGCTTGATGAACTTTAATAATGCAGGGATACAGGCGGGCCCCTCTTTTATGTAAATGACATCCTAAAGGCGTGCATAATTGGCGAATATTTTCGGTGAAGGACATTCTTCGAAAGTGGTTTAAAAGGAGATAATATAATGATAACATCAATTGTTAATTCACGGAAACAAAAAGATCTGGAAAGGTGAAATTTGTAGATTACACAAATGAATACTTCTTTGCATATGTGTATCTTTTACAAATATTTGTGAATTCTAGAATTTTCTAATGTTGAGAGAAATTTATTTGCAAAACAAAGTTAAAAGATTTTCAAGTTGTTTGCCTATAGGAGTGTGATATATTCTATGATATTGCAAACTGCACAAACTGCACAATCTAAACTTTTCTTCTTTCAGTTTTAGCCACGCTTTTCCCTGAAAATCCGGTAAAATGGTTCCTAAATTCAATATTATAGATTTCTGTCTAACAGGGTTCATATGACCGTGACCTTAAGCTTATTCTAGAAAATTTTGATAATGTTAAGTTAATTAAATCCTGATTTTACAGACTGACAACATAAAATTCAATTATGTACAGTAAAGCATACCGATTCTGTGTCTCGACTGCTCGAGGTTGTGGATTTGAACCCAGGCCGGGTCAAACCAAACATTTGAAAGTTGGTATTAGCTGTTTTACTGCAAAGTACGCGGCATTTTAGGAATAAGTCCAAAGACTTGTCGGAGCCAGAATAATGTGTATGGTAGGGTAACATGTCTTCTTGGATTGTTACCTTGTAAAATAGCACATTTGAAATATCGCCTTACCGTGTTCTTGTCTTGAATATCTTTTTAATTTGCCACTGGACGTTGGACAGCCAGTCTTCGTTATCATCAGTCAAGCATGCAAAACATCTAAGCGGGTGCATTCTCTTAAATACATGGATTCAACCATATTTGAAACATAAAAAATGAAAAGAAAATAAATAGATTTTGCCAATACAGGCAATGCAAAAACAGTCTTGAAACTATTATATCGTTATAAACATTGTCAACGGAGTTTGTGCGTATCTTGGTTGGAATCAAAATAAGGAAACGACCTTTTTTCTGAATTTGCATATCGATGAACGGAAGCTTTTGCCACTATCAAACTGCTATAAGCAAAAAAGTCAAAATATGGTGATGTTGAACAGTTGTATATGCATAATTGCCACTGAAATTGGTTATTTTTGGCACTGTAATCTACCTTGCGACCTGTTAATGTTTATTTTGGGGATCCAAACATTCTTAATCTCTTCTCCAGAAAGTTCTGTTCCCCCGCATATCGATATGACTGCCAAGTTTCACACAAGAAACTTAATTGCCTATGATTTTCATTCACGATGTGACCTTCCTGTCCAATTTACACCATTTCTATTTTAATTATTAAAATACAACTTCTTATATATATAGGACTCTGAACCGCGATGGCACTCCGAACCGCGATGGTCACGCTGAGGTGCGACGGTTTGACGCTGAAGTGCTTTTTTGATCACGCTGAAGTGCGATGGTGGCATTGTGACGCTATCTTGTTGATAGCTACGCCGAAGTGCGATGATGGTAACGCTGAAGTGCGATGGTCTACACAAAACTACAAGCTTTTCATGTCGATTTAGAAGTCACTTTGTATGTTAAAAGCAGTTGTCTAGGTTTTTACGTTGATAAAGGGCTTATAAACTTTAAATACTACGAGAAACGGGGAGGATTGGTAGATAGGGAAAGTTAACCTTCTGTAGCGATTTTTTTTCGAAATCTACAAAAGGTTCCTTTTTACGTACGATGGAGCGTGAAATTCATTAAATACATACCGGTCCGCAGACATTCTCCATTTTATAATATTACGGTAAACGAGGAACTCACAAGAGGAACAAAGTAAAGATAAAATATTAATGCAAAATTATGTCCACACGTAGAAAATCAAAGAGGACGGTCTCTCATTTAGTATGCAACTGTAATTAAGGACAGACAGACATAGACAATAATAAATGTAAATTTATATACTAACTATTAAAACAATCTACATGTACTTCTCTTAATAATTGCACATCTGTGGATTTCAAACTAGCAATCATGCGTCAAATAGACCATCGCACATCAGCGAATGGACCATCGCACTTCGGCGTAGACCATCGCAGTTCAGCGTGACCATCGCACTTCAGCGTCCCCATCGCACATCCGAGTCCTACATATATATATTCATGTTGTCTTTAGATAAAATAATGATCGCATTTGTACGTATAACATGCTTTTTTTTTTGTCTTTTGGTTGTATGATTTTGTACATTCACACTTTAAAATATAATGAATACCGACATTTTTACTTATGTCGATTGTATTATTAAAATTAGTTTGAATTATTTCTTGTTATTACTAGCTCATTACATATAGAGGTCTTGGGTTATTGGTGTAGATGGAATGTATGTAATTTATTGTTAGATAGTATCATGGTATTTACATTTATCATATGCATGCATGTATTTGGTATTTGTTACTGCGGTTTTGAATATTTGATAAAGATGGAAACGCCAGACCTGTAACCTGTGTATCGCATACATGTAATGTATAACCAATGGAAGAAAAACTCGGAACATACTATATATAATTGCTCTATCTTTAAAAGCGCCTTTGCTTTGTTATTTGTACAGTTGTTGGAAGTGCTCAGCAATAAGCGAAAGATTTCGAGCCTTATACACACAGCAAAATCAATGCAGTCCCTGTGTAGAATGAATGGGTAACCCTAACGTTTCGCTCGCAAGTACGACAACTCTACCGATTAAAGACACTAAAACAATTTGATCCGATCCCGACCACGGGTGATGTCGTTTCAAAGGTCACCTCACTTGAGCGGTCACTTTTGATACTTCCTAAGAGTGACTGTTTAATACAGGTTTGGTTGTAGTTAAAAGTTTGGTGACGTTGTTGACCTCATCTTTGACAATGATCTCGAATTTAAGGATCATACCAAATATACAGTTGCGTCTATTTCATATCTCGACTTACTTGAGAAAATGATGGTCGATTGAGAACTAAACATTATGATAAACACGATTTACTTAAAAAGGTACAGAATGCTTCGCAGTATCACAAGTAAACGTGCACTGTTTTCAGAAATATGTTTGTCTGTTTTTGTTTTTGTTTTTGTTTTTTATTTAAATAATTGAGATAAAATAAAATAGGAGGTGGCACTAGCATTATATGGTTAAGATTGTGAAAATGTTTTAATGCACTCTCTAATAAGGGGTTTGCGAGGAGTTCGGGATACAAAATAGGTAACCTCCCCACTCCTAGTAAAGCAATGGCAAAGTCCATGCCTTGGTCAGGAGTAACCTTTAAAATGATTCGGACCAAAAACAAAATAGGTGGTGCACTATAGCATTTTATGGCTACGTTTGAATGTTTGTTAGTTTCAATAAATTGCAATAAAAGGTCTAGGAGGAGTTGCGAATATTTAATTGGTATCCTCCCAAATGTGGACTATAATGTGCAGATACAATTGAGCCGAAGTCATCATAAAATTCACCCATAAAATTATTAAGATGAAGAAATGGAATAAGAGGTGCCAAAGTACATTATGTGATTAGTAATCTTTGAAGGTTTCAAATAATTATGTCAACCAGTTCAGGAGCAGTTGCGGATATAAAAGTTGAATAGAATAATGGACGGATGGACTTCTCCATCACCCTATACCACCGCTTTAGAAAGCGAGATATGATAACTGACACATGATACTGCCACGATGACAAACATTTCTTTTTAGCCAAATAGAGGCGAAATATATTCCATTTCCCATTAGTATAATTTTCTTTTTTTTATGTTAGGGAATTTGAAAACATTCGAAATGACATACAAGTGAAGAATTTTAAATAAGCAGAAACACTGCGTTACAAAAAAAACCAACAAAATGACGGAAAAGGATATACTATAGATATAAGAAGATGTGGTATGAGTGCCAATGAGACAACTCTCCATCCAAGTCAAAATTTATAAAAGTAAACCAATATAGGTCAAAGTACGGTCTTCAACACGGAGCCTTGGCTCATACTGCCTATATGTATACGATACACGACTAAAATTACCCGAAAACATGGAAAATGACAAAGCTGTAGTTAACAAAGTCTGGTGTGCAAAAACACCCGTCCAGTATTTAGTGCTTTGGTATACATTGTTAATTTCAAGTTCATAAAACTAATATGTTTGGTTGCAACTGCATTCTCTCGGTGTAATTTGATTTTTAGTTTTAATTTAGATCATTTTGGCTGTTCTGATA